CAACACCCAATACCCCAACAAACTTACAGATCGTAAAAAGTATTCACAAGTCTCATCAGTTATTGTGAAATCATTTTGAGATGGAATTCTCTAATCTGAAACAGAAAAGCAATAATTTAGCCGACAGATCCTCCAGCAAAGGATGAAACATTCGTTAACGACCGAACTGAATAACAAGGGTCCAATGTGACGTCCGAAGGTGGAGACGCTCATTATCCCTCAACTCAAACGTTCCAATATCGCAACATATTAATGGTCATTAACCGGACAATGCCATCTAACAAGACTGATGCTCTTTCGGGCGAATTCGACCCTAGCACAAAAGGCGAGTGAATAGCAGACCGTAGAAAAATAAACCAGTCGGGAACAGGAAAAGTAGGAGGGCACCAATGCCCTAGTCTCGAGGGTAAAAAAAAAAAAGTAAACCTCGAAGCTGAAAAATAGACAATGTGTGGAAAACGAGGTTTCAATGAACAATTTAAAGCTTGAACAGCAAAATTCAGGACTAAATTATATATAGTTGTATGATTAAACAACAACAAACATATGAAACATATGTGTGAACTGCGGTTATGAGACGTATATGAGAACGATCCTTCGCAGTAAAGCACTATTTGAGCAATAGTGAAAATCAGACCTGAAAAAAATTTCAGGCCTGTACGGGATTCGAACCACTGACCTCTGCGATACTAGTGCAGCGCTCTACCAATTGAGCTAACAAGCCAACTGGGAGCAGGCCATCAAATTAATTCGATATAAACCCGTAGATGATAAATCAAACAACAACAAACATATGAAACATATGTATGAACTGCGGTTATGAAACGTATATGTGCACGATCCTTCGCAGTAAAGCACTATTTGAGCAATAGTGAAAATCAGACCTGAAAAAAATTTCAGGCCTGTACGGGATTCGAACCACTGACCTCTGCGATACTAGTGCAGCGCTCTACCAATTGAGCTAACAAGCCAACTGGGAGCAGGCCATCAAATTAATTCGATATAAACCCGTAGATGATAAATCAAACAACAACAAACATATGAAACATATGTGTGAACTGCGGTTATGAGACGTATATGAGAACGATCCTTCGCAGTAAAGCACTATTTGAGCAATAGTGATTTGTAGAATTTGAACGCTGAAAGAGTTACTCGGTTCCAGACCTATTCGGGAAAGCACAATTCAAAATGGCCGACATGTAAACAAAAGTAAGATGCATAGTATTACCATCGGTTTGGGCGCTTTTGGGAAACTTGGTTCAACAAAATGGGCAGTCCGCAGTCTGCAGTCTGCAGTCCGCAGTCTGTGTTTTACTCTGACCGAAGTTTGAGCCAAGGAAAAGTAAAACTGATTTGTTGCGTTAACCGTCTTCAAATCTAAGGGAAGTCGGATCCTGTTCGAGTTAACTACAGTGGGGTTCTACCGTGTTGAGGATGCAACAGTTTTTCGACTGAATCGAAAAATGGAATCTTCTATATATTTGCAACGCAGTCAGTTGCAACGAGAGAACAGTTAGCATATTATTATGTTTGTTGTTGTTTGATTTATCATCTACGGGTTTATATCGAATTAATTTGATGGCCTGCTCCCAGTTGGCTTGTTAGCTCAATTGGTAGAGCGCTGCACTAGTATCGCAGAGGTCAGTGGTTCGAATCCCGTACAGGCCTGAAATTTTTTTCAGGTCTGATTTTCACTATTGCTCAAATAGTGCTTTACTGCGAAGGATCGTTCTCATATACGTCTCATAACCGCAGTTCACACATATGTTTCATATGTTTGTTGTTGTTTGATTTATCATCTACGGGTTTATGTCGAATTAATTTGATGGCCTGCTCCCAGTTGGCTTGTTAGCTCAATTGGTAGAGCGCTGCACTAGTATCGCAGAGGTCAGTGGTTCGAATCCCGTACAGGCCTGAAATTTTTTTCAGGTCTGATTTTCACTATTGCTCAAATAGTGCTTTACTGCGAAGGATCGTTCTCATATACGTCTCATAACCGCAGTTCACACATATGTTTCATATGTTTGTTGTTGTTTGATTTATCATCTACGGGTTTATATCGAATTAATTTGATGGCCTGCTCCCAGTTGGCTTGTTAGCTCAATTGGTAGAGCGCTGCACTAGTATCGCAGAGGTCAGTGGTTCGAATCCCGTACAGGCCTGAAATTTTTTTCAGGTCTGATTTTCACTATTGCTCAAATAGTGCTTTACTGCGAAGGATCGTTCTCATATACGTCTCATAACCGCAGTTCACACATATGTTTCATATGTTTGTTGTTGTTTGATTTATCATCTACGGGTTTATATCGAATTAATTTGATGGCCTGCTCCCAGTTGGCTTGTTAGCTCAATTGGTAGAGCGCTGCACTAGTATCGCAGAGGTCAGTGGTTCGAATCCCGTACAGGCCTGAAATTTTTTTCAGGTCTGATTTTCACTATTGCTCAAATAGTGCTTTACTGCGAAGGATCGTTCTCATATACGTCTCATAACCGCAGTTCACACATATGTTTCATATGTTTGTTGTTGTTTGATTTATCATCTACGGGTTTATATCGAATTAATTTGATGGCCTGCTCCCAGTTGGCTTGTTAGCTCAATTGGTAGAGCGCTGCACTAGTATCGCAGAGGTCAGTGGTTCGAATCCCGTACAGGCCTGAAATTTTTTTCAGGTCTGATTTTCACTATTGCTCAAATAGTGCTTTACTGCGAAGGATCGTTCTCATATACGTCTCATAACCGCAGTTCACACATATGTTTCATATGTTTGTTGTTGTTTGATTTATCATCTACGGGTTTATATCGAATTAATTTGATGGCCTGCTCCCAGTTGGCTTGTTAGCTCAATTGGTAGAGCGCTGCACTAGTATCGCAGAGGTCAGTGGTTCGAATCCCGTACAGGCCTGAAATTTTTTTCAGGTCTGATTTTCACTATTGCTCAAATAGTGCTTTACTGCGAAGGATCGTTCTCATATACGTCTCATAACCGCAGTTCACACATATGTTTCATATGTTTGTTGTTGTTTGATTTATCATCTACGGGTTTATATCGAATTAATTTGATGGCCTGCTCCCAGTTGGCTTGTTAGCTCAATTGGTAGAGCGCTGCACTAGTATCGCAGAGGTCAGTGGTTCGAATCCCGTACAGGCCTGAAATTTTTTTCAGGTCTGATTTTCACTATTGCTCAAATAGTGCTTTACTGCGAAGGATCGTTCTCATATACGTAAGTTGTATGATTGTTCAACAAAATATAAATAAAAGTAAGCGACTTACTTTTCATCGGTTTTCCAAATTCAAATGTTACGTTATCTCCAGTCAGGATGAAGGGAGCCCACTTAGAGATTTCGGGAAATCCGTTGCTTCTCATCCACTTCATGGCCTGGTGAAGAGATTCGCTGGCTCTAACCCCTACAAGGGGTTCGTAGAAACGATTCTGGTATAACCCACCCAGCAAGCACTGACAGAGCACCAGATCCAAAAAAGAACCCAGCGATTCCAAAGTATAACGAGATACTAGCTCTCTCGAGCAATTCTAAATCTAAGTTTTGATAAAGCTATATGCATATATGTATGCAATTATTCCCCCGTCCATTTCCACCATAACAACAAGTAAGAACTACCAGCTTCGCTCTAACTTTTGCTCGGGAAATGCCAGACGTTGTCAAAAAATAGTCTTCTAAAAATATAAAGTTATGAATGGGGAAACGGGGCAATATCTTCTCTTTCAGTATCACTGTGTGCAGCAAAGTGTATCAGGCTCGTTAAACCTTTCTTCCTAAGAACTGTGTGCCTCGTTGCTTTGTATCCTATTAAAGGTGTTACGCCCACGAGACATTCAACCATCTCAGCTTCCTTTTTAGCACAGGACAATGCATGCATGTCCAATATCACGGATCGTTACGAGTGTCTAATGTAATCACGAGTGATATGACCCGTACGGATCGTTCGACTTGTGAATACTTTTCACGATCCGAAAACTCGATAGGGTATAAGGTTTGAAACTCCGTTTTCTCAAGCAAAAAATAATTGACAGCGATGTGGGGAACTTGAAAAGTGTTAGTTTTAATTTCGAAAAAAAAAAAGAGAGAACTAAACTTGAGTTTAGGTCCTGTATTTGTTAAGTTTACTTTACATGCTCGCTTACAAATTTTTCATTCTCAAAATTGTTTTAAAAAGTAATTTGACTATAGCGCTCTCATAATGATCTAACGCAAAACACACCGTTACGCATTCGCATCAAGATAATATACAGAGCTGTGTCTTGAAAACAGAATCCAAATAATTTCATGAAAAGGAAGGCTGAAAAGTACGGCAAGGAATATAACACGACCCTAACAGTGATAAGTGCTTAATTTTTCTCAACAGTATTACCCAGAATTCAACATTACGATCATAAAATAAAGGAATTAATTGAGAACGCGAGAAGCTCCTGATTGTTGGACAAATTCTCTTTGTAAGTACAGTAGGAAATGTTTGGAGAACAGTATGGAGAACTTGAATACTGATGTTAGAGTGTAAAGAGTTAGGGGCTCCGTGACGTATCCCATTTTTCGTCATCCCAATGACGTTATTCCGTGAGGCCTTAGGAGGAAATCATGAGTGACGCTGAACTCGCGATGTAACAAAACATTTTATTCATATGATGCACGATCCTCGTAGTAGATAGCGCTATTTAAGCAATAGCGAAAATCAGACCTGAAAAAAATCAGGCCTGTACGGGATTCGAACACTGACCTCTGCGATACTAGTGCAGCGCTCTACCAATTGAGCTAACTAGCCAACTGGGAGCAGGCCGTTAAGTTGATTCGTAATAAACCCGTGAAGATAAATCAGATAGCGCTATCTACTGCGAGGATCGTGCATCATATGTATCTAATACCGCAGTTCAAAATATATGAACCTCATATATTTCATTGTAACCAAAGCATTTTATTCATAAACAATATTAAGATTGCTATGCATACTAAACTCCACTCCACGTTATCGTAGCTTTTGAAATCAAACAGCAAACATTGATCATCTATATTGGTTTAAAAGCTCCAATGTTTTCAAATTCTAATTGTTGTTGTTGTTTACAACCAGCCATGAGGCAGTTTCAGCAGGACCCGGTTCCAAAACATCTGCACTGGTAAGCTTTTTTGGTCATCCAACAAGTACTGGGACACAGCTGACAACTTCCACCAGGGTAACCCAGCTCAATGCAGCTACGAATTCAAATGAAACTCATTCTCACAATCTACAAAACTTGCAATACAGTCTAATTTTAGGACTACGATCACTGGAAACGCACACCGGTTAGTTTAGTTAAACCAACGAGCGGCCAGCTCTGCTATGTCTGACCATTATTGATTGTACCTCTCCGTATTCTCGCTTAGTTCAATCTGTGTTCTGTTTAGTTTTTTTCTTTTTTTTTCTGGCTTTTATCATTTTCGTTTTTATCGTGATTCTACTCTATAGTACTTACAGTAAACTATTTCTTTGATTAGCTTATCGTTTATATTTCTAGCCAGGTCAAGTCAGGCCAGCTCACAATGAAATCAAGTTACAAACTTAGAATGTAGATAAATCAGTATTTACCGGTCATTGCAGGTCTTCCACAATCTTCCAGTGCCCCAGCTACTCCATCTCGAGCACCTGCTCCATGTTTTCCAGCAGTTACCTAAAAAATTCAATCCCCAAACATATTCAGTCATGACGCTGTGTGTTTATCTTAGACAGAATTCAAAAAAGTGATTGTAAGCTTAGCTCCGGTCCTAGTGTGTACTGTCCTACGTTATATACAACGACATGAAATCTTCGATCATAAATTTCAATTTTTATTTAATCAAATAAGAAAAAAGAATTTTAGATTTACCTTGAGCTTCCTTAAAATTCAGCAGAGTGACAGAAGCAAATAATAAAACCAAAACATAACGAAAGGCCTGAAAAATAAGAAGAAATAACCAAACGGATCATTTAAAGTTATCTGAAATTTAACTGTACTATAAACACTTATAAAATTACCATGATTTCTAGTAAATTCTCAAACGTTCTGCGCCACTCAAGTGACCGAAGTTTCCTCTCTTCTCAGTTGAATTCAACTATAGTTTTGAAACTCTTAGAGGCTTTAAATAATCAAGCAGGTCTTCCTCGATCGCACAAGCATGTATTACATTCCCATAAACGTGAGGTGATCTATAATTTGCTTTTACTTTGCCTTTAGCCTTAAAGGAAAGTGAGCTGTAGCGCGGAAAATGTTTGTATGCTTTCGTGCGTGATCTGCCTTGATTATGGATGTCCATTCTTGGTCTCCACAACACCGATTTGATAAAGAATTTGCATGGAAATGTTTAACTGTACAAGCGAGCAAGCGAGCGTTTCTTTTTACTTTCCCCCCGACAGGAAAGGAAATTGTAAACTGAAAGTATTCCTGCAACCCAGCTAATTTCAGTTTCTAACCACATTCCATTCTGACTCTGGTAACTGATTTATCGGACAGGCACGTTCTTTTCAGACTTGATGCCCTTGCCGAAGAAGTCACGTTGACAATGCTCATCAGCTCATCAATATTTCTATCAAATCTCACACAACGCTGAGAGTGGCAAAGGTCAAACTGAAAATATAACTTCATGATTCTCAAGACCTGGGCAATTTTCTTTGCACCAGATTAGACTGAAGGAGTGGCGATCGTATTCTTCCAAGTCACAAATTAAGTTGAAGAGTCGTTCAGTCAGCCGAAGGATTATTCAGCATTATTTAACGCAGTATTATTTCTATCTTTTGAAATGCACGATTCTATTCTGGCGAAATACGCACCTGCCTTAGCTTTACACCTCAATGGGTCAATCAGATCGCCTGTCACGTGGTCAGTAAACTGATCCAGACTGGAAATTTGTCTTGGAGCTGACCGGAGAGTGACTAGAAATATTCAGCTTTCCTAAACTTCATGCAAATAAATCGCTTCTTAATTTTCCCCTCTAACTCCTCTTACTTCGGTCTCAAGTTGTATTTTATTCCAAAGCGGCAGAACTCTCAACGCTTAGTAAAGCGGGTGGTGAACCATAACGATCATTACCTCTTATCTGACCAGGAGTTGAGAGAAACTCAATAAATTAATGAAGCACAACTCATGGTGCGGTCATGAAAAATTTCAATAAAGCCGGTTTCAATCATAACCAAAGACAATGCACCATGTTAGTTAATTAGATGTTTCTTGAGAATGCATACATCAATGCGTTTCCCTCTCGACTTGTAAAGGAGTAGTTAATCATATTTAGCAAGTCAGTTCTGTTGCAAAATTAAATGAAAATAGTTCTTACAATCTTGATTACTTCCTCCAAGTCAAAGTCAAAGTCATCTTTATTTAAGCAGGGTGGCCCTTTCAGCACTAGGCTGGTATCAATAGGAGCCCTGCGTAATTAGTGATTACCACATAATAATTAAAAAACTACCACCGGCTAAAAACTACTACAAGATAAAAATACAACAATCATGTAGAATAAAGAGCTAATAAAATATACAATATCTCATCTAGTAAAATATTGTTTAAGAAGGTTCTTAAACTTGGAGAGTGATGTAGCTCCTTTCAATGTTCTAGGTAAAAAAGGATCGAACCTAAATACCTAAAAGTGTTTTTTCCTAGACTTAATTTAGGGCGGGTAAATGAAGATCGTTACTGTTTCTGGTGTTATAACTCAATCCAACCCTTCCGTAATTCACAACTTTTAAATGATTTGTTTACATTCGACCCCCAGATTTTCTCGGTTCATTTCATACATAATTAGTTAGCTCAGCTGCGAGTTTTCGTTTGCTCTTTGCTACTGTGAAACAACAACGAGCGTTAGTAGAGTTTGATACTGACATACATTTAGCGACAACGCAAAGTCATCACACAAAACATGCACGAGGAATTATTACTAGATTAAAGGTTCGTTTCAAGATTCCCTTCAGTTCACCTTCCTTTACATGTGAGGTAGGAGCAGATCTGCAAGTCTTCATGAATGTATAAAATATACCAAACAAATTCAATTGCCGAATGTAAACGAATATTGGACATAACATTGGATATGGATTCCTGAAACGTTTAATGACCGTTTAATGAGTCCCAGATTTCTTTATATTACCAAAAATCATTCGAAAATTGTGCACAAACGTTATCAACTGAAGGAAGTAAATGAAATTAATCACCAAATTACGTGAAGCGTACTTAGTATCAATTGACCACATATTTAAACGTGTTTCACTATAAAAATTAACGTTATAAAACAACAAAGTTTCGACCATTCGACGGTCATTTTCAATTTGAAAAATAAAAAAAAAATTTCAGCTTGCACTTAAACATATACAATGAGATGCTGACAAAACTAAAAAATATTTACAAAGTAACATTAGGAGAAAAATTGCGGCATAAATGGTAAAAGAAGAAGTTTTGAGATATTCTCTAACAAATGCTGTGGTTCATTCAAGAATTTCATCACATCTTTCATTATCAAGTACACGTGCAAAAAGAAACAACGAAAGGCGTGATAAACGACCAAAAAACATAAGCAAGGTCTCAGAAGAAAATATGATTGAATGTTCTCTAGATAGGCGACACAGATCAAATTACCATAGTCTCAAGAAGAGAGATCAAAACTTTCTGCAATGCTAAAGTGATCAAAATTTTCGCTCTCTGGTTCAACGACGATATCAGTTTTGATTCACTCTTAGCTTTTTTCAAAACTTTTTGACGCACAGCAGCACATAACATAATAGGATAGAACGTCCTCAAAAAATGTGGCAGCTCGCACTAAATTCCCATGAACGTGAGATAATCTACGATTATTTTTAATTTTACCTTCAACGTTTAAGGAAAGTGATCTGAAATTGTTTTGAAGCGTGCAGGAGATCTTATAGCATAAACAAAGTTAACATTACCCTTTGACATAATTGTCGGGTTCTTTAAATTGTGAAACAACACTTCCTCGATCAGTGAGGATCACGTAGGGATGTGTTACAAATTTCTAGGAAGATTACACAGTATATCTCTACTTTTTCTCAGCCCAAGAGGAAACTAAACTGAAAGATTCTTGTAACCCAGCTAAATATATGTTCATTGTTATTCATAAAGAGCAGCAAAGGTCAAGCCAAAATTTACAGCCGAACTTACTTCAAATCCTATTGATTGTGTAAAATATACCGAGGTATTTTGGGAAAAAAGGTAAACCACGAGAAACAGACTACTAAGAGGTTCAAATTTACATTACTAAGAGTTTACTTAACACACAAATTTTCTCACTTTTCACGAAAATCATTGGGAAACTATACGGAAAGTAAACATAAATAACGTTACACATGCTTGCCGACACTTTATTAATTTAGGAAACAAGCCGAGGGTGGAACAAGACAGAATCTTAGACCAGATCTGTGAGTAGGGAAGAAGGAAGTTGTGCTGTGTTGGATTTGAATTTCCCCCAGAACACTGAGTAGCATCAACCCTTAGCTACACACATGTAGAGTGAGGTCTTTTTCACGTGCGAATTTTACGAAAATTAACGCGATACAATTACTTTAAACGGCATTTTACACGTAACGAATTTGAAAAGAAAAACTCTACATCTCTTTTTGTGTGTGCGAAGTTTTAGTAAAATCTTGGCGTTTTCACGAGATGAAAGAAATAAATGACAGGTCACGAAAATTCCATGTGCAAATCACGCCTCGCGCTGGTTCATAAATCTCGAATCACGCTTGCCTTTCTGTAAACTTTACGCGTCACACATTAATTTAGGCTTTAATCAGGCGCGACTTTTAAATCCACTCCGAAAATAATAAGATTGCTTCAAGCCACATGTTAGAATTATTAAATATTATTATTCTATACTATTATTCTATACTATATTATTTTATACTATTATTCTTAAAGTAGCAATGAAAGGCTTGCAATAGATCAATGCTATTGACTATTATATGGTTATGCATAACCGTGACCCTATGGCAGTTATTCCTCTATGAGACGGTCTCTCTGAGGCGGTTATCCATTTCTTTAGCGTCCAGTCCCTGTAGGCTCCTGACAAATCATCATATAATCACACCAAGCTTCTGTATTCAAAACCTCTATTCATCCGCTACCTCGTTTAGCCTCTATAAAGTAGATTCGGTCAGGTTTTAAGCGTTGAGATTTAAAATGTGGAACACCATAAAAAATATTGTCATTGTTTGCTATTTGTTCGATTTAATGCAAATTTGATGTGATGATATCCAAAACAACGTTTAAAACTTTGAAATGTTTCGCTGTAAATGTCTCCGGTGAAGTTTTGCCTTCACAGTTTCATAGAAATTTGCAGTAATTCCTCTTCTAATAAAACGGAAATACTTCCTCAACCGATACATGCTCGACCACGTGCGAAGTATCTATTTACATGTAATTAAAATCAAGTTTCAGCAATCAGGGAAAACTCGCGAAAGGGTTTGGCCTAAAACAGACAAAAAGGTCAGCCGATCGAATTCTTTTCATTTGCTATACTTTTTTGAAATACACCATTTACTGAGACAGATAAAAGGCGGATGATTCTTGACCAAAAGGAGCGCTTTGGCCGTAGCTCGACAGATACATATAGTTCTTTCATCGCCTGCATGCCTGCATTTGAAGTTGTTTCAGTGGATATTGTCGGAGCTGGGCATCAAGTGACCGGCCGTATTGCTGCTCTCCTCGATTGGATGCAAATCCATCACAAATAAATATCAGATATGTATATTGGCATATCAAAAGTAAAATAATTGAATAAATAGCTTCGCGCAGATTGAGTCAGTCTCTCAGTTTGTTCAGTGTTTGTTTAAGTTCACGAATAAAAAACATTTCAAAACTCAAACAATCGAGTTTGCTCTGACATTCTTTCAAAAAGCTTGGAATTGTTTCCAATGGTCTCCGGATCTTTTATATGCTCCTTTTCTACGTGGTTGCCTATTGTTGAACGCTTGAAGGAAGACAATCACTTCACTTCTGATATCGTTTCTATCACCCAAGTGTTTTCTTTTATCATTTATGCCGCAGGTTTCCTGTATTTTTTCCATGTAAACATTTTGCATTCTAGCCGGTATCTCATTAGCATTCCTACAATTGATTGTAGACATTTATTTTTTTTTTACTTTTAACTTTAAAATTGCCCTCGAAAAGTTGATACGTCGTTGTTTTTTATCGTTAATTTTTATAGCGAAACACGCATGAAAATCTGATTGTTACTAAGTACGCTACACGTAATTTGATGAGATATTATTTGCTTCCTTCTGTTGATGAAGTTTGTGCACAATTTTCGAATGAAATCTGGGACTCATTAAACGTTCCGGGAATCAATATCCAATGTTATGTTCCATTTTCTTTTGCATTCGACGATTGAATTTTTTTAGGTATATTCTAAAAAGTCAGTTAGACTTGCGGATCTGCTGCTTATTATTCTTAGTAACTGAGAAGATATCAGTTCATAAGGTGCGTTACAAGATTCACATCAGTTTTTGTTTTCCTTTTCGGCTGAGAAGGAAGTTTAAACAGAATTTTATTATTTCATCTTCTCAGAAAATTAGTTCGCGTTCTTACGTGATCTGTATTGTTTGAGGAAGAGCTGTTTAAGTATTAATAGGCCCCATCAGTAAAATCATCGTCAGTGCAGAACGAGTCACCAACGAACGGTAGAAATCTCACGTTGAATTAATTCAAAGATATTGTCGGAGCTCTCTGGAAAATGGTAATAAGTGCTATTCCATATTACAAGCATACCATAATCTTGTATGCAGGAGCGTAAAAAGTGGGTGAAATTTTAAAATTTCACATTATACGCTGTTGGACAAAAAAAGCAGATGCTATCAAAATATTGATAGTTTTATCAATGTGAAGTGATGATGTACCCAGTCATAATAATTTTTTAACCTTTTAATCTTCTTTGCAGGTTTTCCGCCACGGATGCTATTTACTTCTCCTACTCCTTGCTCATTTTACCGCTCTGGGATTGTCGGCAGTTAAAGGTAATGTTCTCATCATAAAGCAAATGTGTCATGAACATTCAATGATATAACTTGCTGCTGTAAAAATGCAGCATAAAACAAACATGATTTAAGGACTTAAGCCACTCTCCCCTTGCTCTTCTCCTTATCCAGCTTTAAAATATGTCAATTACTTCTTACCGTTTCTCTTCTCGTTAATTTCGTTATATCTCCGACTGTTTTATTCTTCTAATATCCACAAGACACCCGGAGGTGTCAACGTGGGATGCATGCATTGGTCCTTATCAACAGTCACTCTGCTTTTACGTGGAAAAGAATGAATTTAACAATGACTCTTCAAAGTTCAGGAATGAGATCCGAAAATTAAGACGAGACGCACGTTAATTTCTGACAAAAGCAAAGGCAACGTGGTGTGCCACAAACATCCCAAATAATAACCCATCAACGCTAATATTGACCTTATTTAGTTCGATGCTGATCTGCAATCATGATATCACCTCACTTTCCGCAGTCGGTTGCGATGCGTCAGTGGCCCTATCACCCCAAAAAAATTCTATATAGGAGGATATTTCATATCTTTTTCGAAAAATGATTATAAAAACAAATACCCCTCCACTAAGAGGAGAGAGACTACATTAATAATAAAATGGGTGTTGATGTTTCAAAGATGTAACTTTTTCACCTGTAACCTTCACTTTATCATAGACTCTCATAATCCTGTAGATTTTGCTAAAACGTGTCATTTCAAATATAGAACCAGCACGCAGGTTCCCATCACGGGTGAAGAGGAATATTTTCCAATTTGGCCGTATGATCAAATGTGAAACTGGCAGATCCGCTTGGGCCTATATTGGCTATGGTTGTTACTGCGGTTTGGGGGGAAAAGGAACACCTGTAGACGGGGTTGACAAGTAAGTTAACTTAAAGGTTGTAAATAAAATCTAATAAAGAGGGCGTTTTCTTAGCAGGCGCTATCTTCTGAGCTATGGGCTACATACAACTTCCTGGAACTCCCATATTACCCTCCAATCTAACTTTCTCGTAATAAGCGCTTCCAGACACCTTTTTGAGTTACGATTTACAAATTTCCGTTGTCTTCAATCTCTCGTCAGTAGAAACCCGACAGGGAATCTCTTTAGAGACTGATCGAACCCGATCAACGCGCTGAATTTCCTGAGCTGAAGATATTTTAAGTGAATAACCTGGCCCGTGCGTGGATATCGCTCTGTACAAAGTTAAACTGGGCCATTACCGCAATTTATCATCTTAAACTGTCATTTTGAAATATCAGTGGTCTAGTGACTTTCAAAAACCCCGCTAATTTTCCAAGGCAATGGCTTATGACTGAGTTACTAGGGAGTCCTATTGTTTGTGAGGGTAATATTAATTATTGCTGCCTCTAAGGTTTAATGGGATTTCAGATGAAGGGATTTGAACACATTTCTGAGTTTAAAGAACAGTTACTGCCAATTACAGTTTTTATGCAACTTTTTTGTGCAACGCATCGCATCAATTTCATATTTCCAATATTCCATGATTACATTTAAACTAAATTTTCCCGGATAAACTTAAGCAACCGAGTGGAGAAGCGAGGAAAAAAGTCGTTTTTGCCGTTTACATAATTTCTGCTACATAATTCGAAAAAACTCGCGTTTTTACTTTCTGTGAGCATCGAATAAAATACAATTATCATCTGACAGAAATACGGCTGAGTACTTGATTAGGACTGAAATTACCAGTAGTTTCCAGAACTGATTGAATCAGAGTTTTGATTCATACAATGAAGTTTGATAGAGGGATAATTTTGTTCTTTTTCCCTTTCTAAACGAGGAGAAGAGTGTTTTAAAATAGTTTCTTTCTTGCAGGTGGGTAATTGTTACGATCGCATAAAAGACTCTGGAACCTGTTTCTTTAACTTTTATGTTTACACTAACATTTACAGTAGGGTTGGATGCAGCGGATGTGGTATGGAATAATACATTTTGCTTTATTTTTTTTTATTCTTTGCTAGATTCTAAATTCTTTTCATAAGCCAATGTTAAACGATTAAGGATATTTTTGTCTTGGTATGACTCTTAGCTGGTTGTAAAATCATTCTGGATTTGGTAATATGTGAATTGTTGTCACTCAGGTTCGCAGACTATTTTACTAAAGATAAAATGAGTTTAAACCACCAAGCTACTTTTGCCAAAAAAAAAAAAAAAAAGTTCAATCCTCTGAGATGATGAAAACAAAGGGAAAAAGCAAAAAAAAAAAAAAAAACTTTCAAGAAACCCTTACTTTTTGTTACTGATCTCTGATTCATATTTTCAATGTTTCAGCTCCTCGGCCAGAAAATAATAGATGTGAGCTTGCCATCTGCGTATGTGACAAAGCTGCAGCTAGATGTTTTGCAAATAACAAATTCAATAGGTGGTATGAAGATCATCCCAATTACCTCTGTTAAGAAAAATTATGGAAAAAGATTGACAACCTCTCACTTTAGCCCATGTAGATATGAATGTTAATAAGGCAAATAAAAAGTGAGTTGAGACGAGCAGTTTATTTTACTTATATTAAACTCGTTTCGTGTGAGGGTAACATCCGAGTGTGGTACAATATTTGTTAGGAAGGCACAGTCGAAACTCGTGATTTACCTTCGGCCAGCCGCTCAAGCTCACTAGTTTTGCTATGGTGATGTTCACATTATACAAAACCAGTTTTTGATTCTGATGATGACTTCCACTCAGGTCAGTCATTTTCGCACCAAAATCTTTCTTTATAATTATCCTCACTCGGACGATCAGACAAATAGATCAATGCCGAATAAAGGGGGTAGGTTTCTAAAGAAACTATGGTGCTGCGTCGGTGGGGGTAACAAGGTAATTTGGTTTTATCAACCGAGTTAATAATGCAAATTGACCACCGTAAAGGGTTAAAAAGCTGACGTTTCAAGCGTTAGCTCTAACGCTCGAAACGTCAGCTTTTTAACTCTTTATGTCGGTCAATTTACAATTTCAACTTAGTTGATATAACCAAATTAATAGATCAAATGTTATTCTTTGCTCCAAATTATTCATAGTAGGAAAATTGTGTCCTCAAAATTGGTCACCTAATTAAACTGTTCTAAATGAAATGAAATCTTCCAATTTTCCTTTCTGAAGCTCGGATTTATAAAACATTGTGGGTTCACAAACACGAAATTGAGAATAACAAGGTAATTTTTACATGCTGAGTCGGGACAACTCCCTCTTTCAAAAAAATTTTCGCGACTGCTTAAATATTCAATAATCACGCAAACTGCGCTAAGCTCTAGTCATTCCTAAGAAAGGAATTACCTTCAACAGGTGAAACTTTCCAAATGGTGACCAAAAAGACGATCGAAATGAGAAAATAACATCCACAAAAAGCCCGTGGAAAACTTACGAATAATTTTACACTTTTAAAGTTCCAACTTTGATTCTATGGAAGCTAGCAGTTCCTGCTATTCATCAGTGCTATTCCATCTCAAATTGGAGTAAATTCTTCCTTTCTTAGAAATAGGAAGACTTTTTTCCCGCGTTTACATAACCTCATCTAAACACTAGGGAGGTTGGGAGAAATGAGAAAGTTATGCAAATAACCGTGGGGGATTCTCTCCACTCCCGGGTGTTAAGGGAAATGGAAGAAAAGGTTAATTATTTACTTCTTGATTGAAATAGTTTCCTAATACACGCTCTGGGCCCAGTTCTTCAAAGAGCGGATAACTCTATCCAACGGATAAATCGCTATCCAGCGGAGAAATGATAGCAAAACGTACTGCGCCATCCACCGGATAGAGATTTTATCCAGTAGATAATGTTATCCACCCTTCGAACAACTCGGGCCTGGACGATAGTATTTCCAACTAACCATTTTAATCGCGCATATGGATCTTACAAAAAATGGACCAATCAAGCTTCGCGTTATTTGTACTGAGCAAGCTCCAGCACCGCGTAAGAGAGAAATGACTTCAGCTTAGAATCCTTGTAAATTTGACAGAAAAATACCAAATTTTTTAAAAGAACTTCAGCTGAAAAGGAAGAGTTAAAGGAGCACTCTTACGAAACCGCCCTTTAATTTCAAAACCCGAAAAATTCAGTTATTACATTATAATATGAACTTTTAGCAATTAATAAAGCCTTTACAATAATAATTTTAGTTGAAAGTCAATTCTAGTGCGAGAAATTACGATTTGAAAACCGTTCCTCCGTTAATTTTCGTATTCACGGGATCAAGGTTAAATAATATTTCGAAAGAGCGCACCATCGATACAAATTGATATCGGCGGCAAAGACAGAGAAGCAAGATCAAACGCACACCTTTGAGATGGTTATGCGGAAAATGGTGATTAATTAAAGACTGAAAAACAGCTCCAAAAAGCAATAGCTATCGTAAATGAAATTGAAGATAGGGAGACACAGTCAACTTATTGCACCTTGTGTGGAGATGTTTATCCACGGCTTATTGAGTTCGAAGTTGCCGATAAATATTATGAGAAGGCTGTGCTCTTATCGAAACAAATTGGGCAGTAGACAGAAGAGTTGAACTTCCTTTAAAGTTACTTCAAGTCTAAGGTCTTCAAGGAACCTTCATACAAAGTTTGATTGTATTTTTCACCGCATTGAAAAAATTGAAGAACTGCGAACGTTTCTGGGCGTCAATAATGACTTTAAAACATCACTTCTTGAGGTGTATGGGCCATTTTGGTACATTGCTCTTGGTGCGATGCTTTCTTTCATTGGAATACTTAAGGGGCTTTTTGCATTGAAGAACTAGAGGCCTATCAGACTTGATGCACACCACTATTCCACTCCAACAGGCGTCTCAGCCAACCCAAAATCACAGTTTGGAATTGATAACATATTGGAATAACAGAGTAACTGTACGTGCCCGTACATGATGCATGTCATCGTGACCACAATGTGCATTTTTGGACCCTGAAAACAAACGGACACATATTTTAAAGCTGTAAAAGTTAACAAAGACATTTTCCAAGCTAGGTTCAGTGAAAGATTTTTGTTTGAGTTTTATCCACGGCTTTTCGGGATTTTTTAATTCTAACCGAAGAATAATACGAGGATCGATCCTTACATCGTCGATGAGTTACAATGTAATTCACCCGAGTTGAAAAGCCATGCAGTCATGTGCCTTGCAGAGGAAGTAGAAGAAGAAGTCATGGAGGAAATGCCACGTCTTTCCTCACTATGTCACAAAATCTTTATTGCCCCTTTGGCTGATTTATTGGAAGAACCCGAAGTCATAATTGTTGCTCTCGAGAACGTGTACAAAGTTCCATTTGCAGCCTTGGGTGAAGAGGAAGAAACATATCTATCGGAGAATTACCGAATCCGCATGGTTCCTTCTTTGACGACATTCAAGCTCATTCAGGACGGTTCAGCGGACTATCACAGTGAGATCTGGCGCACTAATGATAGTGGATGATCTGCAGGTTGGCTGAGTAATGTACAAGGGAGATCTGGTAGAGTGGTCAGCATTGTCCTGTGCTAGAAAAGTAACCTGATATGGTTGGACGTCTCGTCGGCGTAACACCTTCGGTAAGAGACAAAGCAACGAGGCAGGCAGTTCTTTGAGAGGATAGGTTCAACGAACCACCTTGCTGCACATGGTGATCCTGAAAGAGATTCATAATTCCATTCATAATCCTGGTGTTTTTAGCTTCTATCCGAAAGAAGAAGACTATCTTTTGACAACACCTGACATTTCTGGAGCAAAAGTCAGAGCCAAGCTGGTAGTTCCTAGCTGTTGTCATGGTGGAAGTGGATAGACTAGAGCCGAGAGAATAAATGGAATCGCTCGGGCCTTTCAGGATCCGGTGCTTGGTTAGCGCTTGCTGCTTTATGGGCCATATTTTACCGGACAAACCAGTTCATGAATCGTTTTTACGAACTCCTTGTATGTGGGGAAATCACCAGCGAATCTCTTCACTAGGGCGCGAGGTGGATGACAAATGACAGATTTACCGAAATCTCTCAGTGGGCTCCTTCCTTACTGGAAGGAGATAACGTGACATTTGAATTTGGAAAACCAATGAAAAGCAAGTCGTTTCATGTTATTTATACTTTGTTAAATGATCACACAACTATGATTTAGTATTTTTGCTGTTCAAGCTTTATTTTGTGCGTTGAAACCTCGCTTTCCACTAATTGTTTATTTTTCAGTTTTAAGATATTTTTTTTTTTACCCTTGAGACTGGGGCATTTGTGCCCTTCTACTTTTCTTGTCCCTGAAACTGGTTTATTTTCCTATGTCTCCTTTTAACTCGCCCTTTGCACTATGGTAAAATTTGCCCGAAATAGGAGTCAATCTTTCTAGATGGCATTGTCCGATTAATGATCATTAATACACTCAAAATGGAACATTGAGTCGAGAGAAAAGAGGGTCTCCACCATAGACGTTACATTCGCCCCTTGTTACATGTACTCAGTAGAGTCCTTGATGATAATTTAATCCTGCTGGAAGATCTGTGGACGAAACTCTTGCTTTTCTGTTTCAAATTAGAGAACCTCATAAAAAAAACAAAACAAAAACAAAAACATAACAAAATAAAAAAACAGGGCAAGGAGAAAAGAAAGTTTCTTAACAGATTAAAGTTTCGTATCATTGGTAAGACAGCCCTCTTTTGGGCTAATAAGAAGACTGAGAAACCCTACATTTTCATTGCATCGATGAAAACAAAATGTGAAACAATTGTGGAAACTGTTTTTAAGTGTAAATATTTTGATATTAAGGAATCAGTGACAGCTATGGGTAGATGGTTGCAGATCTATCTTATTTCGAAAAGACGGATCAATTTTAAGGAGAACCGTCTACTAGAACCTGTGATGATCAATTTTATTTGATACACTCGCTAACAGATTGATTAAAAAATATTGGAGGTTGGTTAAAGTATAATGAATTCGCAAATACTTATGAGACTCCGTTTCTCACACAAAAAGCATTTGACAGTGAAGTGGTAAATGATAAGTGTTCGTTTTGATTTTAAAAATTGATGAAAATAGCTTGCCTCGATGAAAATTGATTTGGCTTGAGCCTCCTCAAGTTTCAGGATAGTAGAATCAGCAAGTTCTAAAACTAAAATAAAACGAAAGAGTAGAAAATGAGTAAAAATAACTTAAGGAATCAAATGATAAAGGTTTCTCAAATTGAACTGAACTATCAACACATATCAAACTATCATGAATGCGAGGTTAATTCTCAAAACGTTCCGCGCTAATCAAGTGATCGAGGTTTCCACTCTTCATAGTTCGATTCAACTGCAATTTTGAAACTCTTGGAGGCTTTAAATAAATTAGAAATTCTTCCTCAGTCGTGCAAGCACGTACTACATTCCCATGAACGTGAACGTGATCTATTATTCGCATTAACTTTGCCTTTAGCCTTAAAGGAAAGTGAACTGTAGCGCGGAAAATGTTAGTGTCAGTGCTTTCATACATGATCTTGGTTGATTGTGGATGTCCATTTTCGGTTCTCCACAACATCGATCAAAGCCATTTACATATTTACATAGAAATTTTC